GATTTTTATTGGGAGTTGGAAAGCTGATTGGGATTGAAGAGAGTAGGCAAACATTACTTATTAAAGGTGATTTGGCTTTCTGGATAAATGTGATAAAGTGTCATATGGAAAATGAACTTGTAATGAGCATTCAAGTGTAGTTTGTAATAATTGCTTACAATAAAGGTGTAATGATAACCCAAACTGTAACAAATTTCATTTCATTATTTATTTTTTAATGCAGTAAAGTCCCACAAACTAAATGTGGACTGAGATGATGATGAGTTACCAAAAATGTCAAGTTTTATGACATAGTGATGATGGTAGACTAAATTTGAGACTTTTTGTAAAAGAATTACATGTACAAAATTCATATACATTCCTAATGTTGATATCTTGATATACAGTGTTTTTCCATCAAGTTCCCCAGTTCATAGTTTCAAAATTTTAAGAAATAAACGGTCAGTCATTTTAACAAGATTTAGGAGACAAGAAAGTATTCCTAATTTTTTTTCATGTTATTAATATCCAGTTTGTTAAATACATTTTATTAATCTTTGTTTTTCAAACTATTCACATTACAATTTATGGAAACAATAAGAATTATTATTATATATAGCTCAATGAGAAGTGTGATAAAATTTTAATTGATTTATTTTTGATACACAGTTGAACTTGGTTAATTTGAAGTTCAAGGGGAGTGCAAAATAATTAGAATTATTTTGCACTCCCCTTAATTAATAATTATTAAGTTATGCAGATATAGTATAATTACTTGTCACATTTTTCTGTCAAGCTTAATTCACACTGAGAGCAAATTGCTGGCAAAAGCAAAAAAGAGTGAATAACATGTCATATAAGATGTCATTTCTGTCGAATCTTANAATTGATTTATTTTTGATACACAGTTGAACTTGGTTAATTTGAAGTTCAAAGGGAGTGCAAAATAATTAGAATTATTTTGCACTCCCCTTAATTAATAATTATTAAGTTATGCAGATATAGTATAATTACTTGTCACATTTTCCTGTCAAGCTTAATTCACACTGAGAGCAAATTGCTGGCAAAAGCAAAAAAGAGTGAATAACATGTCATATAAGATGTCATTTCTGTCGAATCTTACCATTTTGCAAATCACTTAGAAGTTCAAAATTTTTTTCTCTGGCAAAAAATTTTGCCATTTTAAGATAGTTACAAATTCATTGCACAACTGAGATGATGTCAAAATTAATGTGATATCCTTGCATGTTATGCTTTTTAAACATTTTTCTCACCCAACAAATATGCAATAGTGGCAAAAACAATGTCAAAAGTGTTTTGTTTTTACTGATGACACTTTCTTTCTTGTAAATGGTTGGCTGCTCAAACTTTGCAGTTGTTTTTCACTTTTTTCAGTCTAGGCCAGTTATGCATTCATTTTAAACTTAAAATTTCTATTCACTCAGAGATTTGAAGCTATTCTAGCTTCAAATCTCTGAACTCTAATAATTCCTAAAATATGAAGATATTCCAGCTCCAAAAATTAGGGGAAAACATTGAATTAAATAAGAGTTTTTACATTACAGTTAATAGGAAACTCGAGAAATTTGTAAAATTTGAATTATCCAAAAATTCAAATTAATTAAGTTTTACTGTGTACTGTTTTTGCTAGTTTCTAAACGTGTAAAACAACATTGGTATATTTAAAATCTAATGAGTTGATATGAGTAACACAAGTTTGGGGTTGGGATTAATTACACAGTCAAGTCATATTAATATAACCATTGTATATATTTGATGTCTACAGTGCATAGTAAATGAAATAAGACATGTATCATGAGCTGGTTTGGTATGTAAATAAGGTGAGACGTGCACAATGTGCAAATATTAATATATCAATCATTTCAATCATTGCTGTTATGATTAAAATGTACATTTTATCAGATAAAAAAAGAGGATGATTGTCAGCTTTTGGGCCAAGGGTGGTAGTATTCCTGAGACTGCATGATTTGTGAACTGTAGTTAAAATATACTGTGATTGGACAAACGGTGTGGAAACTGGTGCACCACGTGCCATTGATGTGATAGGTGAATCTCAGCTTCATAGGTATGTGAGGACTGATTGGCATGCTACAGTTGAACAATTCATCATCCAAACCAACCAGAGGCTACCAAACAATGCAGCAAACCCTGCTGCATGAGGGTCTGAAGCAGACAGGTGGTCACTGCACCCATGCTGATGAAGATACATTGGCAGAAATGGCTATAGTTTGCACAGCAGTACTGAAATTGAACCTCTTCTACATGGCAAAGGGTTTCCTTTTCTGATGAGTGATGTTTTCTGCTCCATTATATGGATGGACATTGGCATGTCAGACAAGAAATGTCTGAGAAGAAATACTCAGCAACCATTGTTGAAAGAATACAAGCTGGTGGCAGCAGCATTATGATTTGGGGAATTGTTTTATTGGCATTATATGAGACCACTCTTACCTCTGGAAGGAACACTCAACTGAATTGGGTATGTATCCATCCTTACAGATAAAGTACATCCATATATGTTGACTGTCTTCCTTAGAGAATATGGGATCTTCCAACACTATAGTATGACATGTCATATGGCCAGAATTGTCTGGAGTGGTTGGAAGAATATGACCAAGATTTCAAATTACACTTCCCTGGCCCCCTTAATTTCCCAGGCTTGAGCCCAATCAAGTGCCTTTGGGACCTCTTCTATCACCATGTTTGTTGGTAATTCTCACAAAACATTTTTCAGCAACCAGGGCTTTGGAGCGGAGCTGGAACATGGAGCAGGTGGAGTGACAGATTTTTACTTGGAGCAGGAGTGGAGCCAGAGCACAGAAATTTGTAGTGCTCCACTGCTCTGATATATATATTTATGTAATATTTGAGATGGTGAGAATGGAAGTGGCATAAGTTGTAATATTACAAATGTTAAGAATACAATAATTGAACTAAAAAGAAAGGTGATCACAAGCACAGATTAATTTTACGTCCATTCCACATATGTCCCATGTGAAAGGTGGGAACCTTTCTCCCCAGTCTCCACCATCCCCTGACCAAGCTATTTCTTCCCCTTCATGACTCCCCAGTTCTCTGAATTCTTGAGAATCACAAATATGGAGTGGAGTTAATGGGGGGGGAGTGCTAATGAGTAGCAGATTTTAAACTCTGCTTACAAGTGGCTTTAGTCATCAGCACAGAAATTCACCACTAGGAGTAACACTAATATTCATTTCTTACATTTGATTTTGAGTGTGACAGTTGTTCATTTCTGTTTGCAATCATTTTATTATAATTGTATATCATAATTTGTAATTTGTTTGCAGAGGTAAGATTATTATTATTTGGTTATTTTGTATGCATGAATGTTTATATGCATAATTTCTCAATAACACTTAAATATTTGATTACTTAAGCCATGGCATCAAACCAAAATTTAAAACCATTGATAGACAGTCAATTTACAAAAGAAGAGCTTAAAGAGATATTCGTATTTGAATACGATAATGGAAAGGAAAAATCAGTTACATGCAAGATGGAACCATCTTGCATGTAACTGATTTTTTTCTTTCCATTTTTCTTTATGTGTTCAAATTGTAAATGGCAAATCAATACAATGCAACTTCAATGCAAGTGGAACTAGTGTGTCAAAAAAGTTCAATCTTTGACGGTATATGAAGCGTAATCATCCTGAAATATACAAAAGGTTAGTTAAAAAGAAGGATCAACAAGACAAAGTTGCTGCAAGAAGAAAATGTAAGCATGGCAATTTTACCATTGCAATGTCATGTCACAAGAAATGCAGAACTGATCAACCAAAAAATGATACATATTTTACATCATTGAAGATTACAATCACTATGGATAGCAATTCTTTTAGTGAGGGACTTGTTGAGATGGTTTGTATGAGTATGACACCACTTACTACCTTCACATTAAATAACAAAAGATTCCAAAAGATTGCTCAGAAGCTTGGCGAAATGGCTCAGAAGCTTGGTGTTTCAATAGGACATGATGTTGTTCGTTACTTTGTAATAAGCATAGTACAGTCTGCTTATATCAATCTAACACAAACTTTAAAAGGACAATTATGCTATTTAAAGCTAGATGCTGCAACCCGTGGAAATAGAAATTTTCTTGCCATCAAAGTACAATTTTGAAATGAAAAAAAACGGGAAAATTGAAATAAAAACATTGGATATTGTTGATACTGAAGGAAGACATAACTCTTTATATGTGAAAAATTAAATTAAAGAAACTTTGAACAATTTGAAATTGATGAAAAACAACTACTAAGTATTTGTGTAGATAATGCAGCAAACATGACATGCTGTAAATAAACTTGGTGATCATGAAAATATTTTCCAGGATAAAGATGAAAAAACTGAAGACATCAAAGAAATGAATGTAGACATTTCGCCTTATTTTGGGTTAAAAATTCTTCCCTAATATTGCCAATGTGGACTAATGATAATACGAAAATTCATCTAATGAGATGTGGGATTCACACTCTTCAACTGGCCATTTGGGAAGGATTAAAGAATGAACAAATAACAAAACTTTTAGGGAAAATTAGACTGGTTGTGGTAAAATTACAAACGCCAACAATTCGTAATGTTTTGCTGAAAATTTATGGTAAAACTCAATGCCTAGATAAAGTAACAAGATGAAGTTCTACATATGCCATGCTTGATCATCATCATTTTTCAAAGACTGCTGCAACCAAGTAGCTGTTGCTGAGATAAAAGACCTAGAACATAGCAAAGCAGAATGGGATGAAGTAAAACATATCAGAGCTGTTTAAAAAAAACAAACAAACAAACAAATATTTCGACAATTGCCCTTCAAGCTGCCAATCTTACTCCGGGGATGTTTATGAAAGAATGGTGTAAACTAGAAAAATGTATAAAAGAATTTGGAGGATATGTTGTGTTAGGAATTCTGTTTTCCATGAAAAAGCAAAAAGAAAAGCTTATTCAAAACACACATTTTCTTGTTGGAGTGTGTGTTGATTTTAGGTATAGAATCTTATTAGGTGCAGCAGAAAAACTAAAAGCAAGAGAAGGTCTTTCAGACATCCAACAGAGAATCAAAAGGCAAACACTAATTGATTTGGCTGAAAAGCCAGCAATTGTTGAGCTCTCACTGCCAACCTGTGATATGATAAATATAGATTCGGAAGATGATGATTTTGAAAAAGAATTGGATAGAAGAGAAAACAGTCGTCGAATTTCCACTATACATAATAAAGATGACAACGAAATAGACAAATATGTTGAAAAAGACTGCAATGCAATAGTGGATGTGGGGAGATTAAAGGTGAATGTATTCGAAGCCATTGACCATTATCCGGAGCACATCAGAAAAGAATAAGAATCGCTTCAAGCATGTCAACTTCTCAAGCAAGTATTGAGAGTCTATTTTCCAGATTAAGATTGCTTTTAAGTAATAATAGGCAGTCAATGAAGGGTGATTTACTGTCTGCCATTTTATTTATTAAAATCAACAAGGTTGTATGTTAATTTTTTTAATAATAAATTAGTTGTAAATAAACAAGTTTTTTTATATGTACTTTATATATCAAAGAAAAAATTAGTTAATTCCTATAAGAATATTTTAACCAGAACATGGAGCAGAGCTGGAGCAAATACTTTGATGCCAGAGTGGAGCAACTCAAAAAAATGGTTGCTCCAAAGCTCTGTCAGCAACTATTGAATGCAGTCTTGCAGTCTACATGGTTCCAGATACCTTTGGCAACCATCCAGCATCTTATTGAATTACTCAGTCTAGCTGCTGTCCAAGCTGCAAATGGCAGTTATTCTGGATATTAGCTGGTAGTCATAATAAAGTGACTCTACTGTTTATACAATAAGTAACTGATGATTTTTTTTATTTATTTATTTGTTAACAAACAAATGAATATAAATAATATAAATCAAATGAAATTGCTTGTTTTAATTTTAATATTTTCTTTAAATTTTAGCAAGAAATTTTTCATCATCTGAAAAAATAAAAAGCAANAACAACTCCAAACGACATTAAAAAAACAACAACACAAAAAATAAACTTTATAAAATAAAACGTTGAAGTATTATTTTTATTTAAAACGTTATTAATAATTATACCGTAAAAATAAAGAGTTTTACGTAAAATTAATAAATTTTATTAATAGAGATCAATAATTAATTTTTTATCGTCTCGGAAATTTTTATTGGTCGAATGGTAAAATTGAAATGGAGAATCATCCAATGATAGATTACGTAGCGTAGTCTTTTTGTTACGATGGGAGTAGAATTCATTGAGTTCGAGATTTCAAACATGTCTACCGCGTTAATGGCTTATTTAGTGTGAAATAATCGTTAATATTTCGACAAAAATGTGGTTTATTTATATATAAATAGAATGGGACAGTTTAGAAATGGGTTGACTCTTAAATAATCGAGATAAAGTCGTTTATATAAACCCCGTTTTTTTTTTTTTTTTTTATATTATTATCAGTCCAAAGTGATTGATATATGTAATTGCTATTAAACCAGTATTTCTCAAATGGGGCAATATCACCCCATGTGTTCAAATAGTAACAATTTATATTTTGGGGTGAAAAATATTTCTCTGGGCAATATAGTAAAATATTATATTAAGAATAATTAGATATTTTATTTGTTATATTGTACAATAATCAAACAAATAATATTATACTAGTGACTAGTCTATTCAATGCAATATGAATTTGGCTGACGCCAAATTCGTATTGCATTGAATAGACTAGTAGCCGTCTGCATCGGAATTTTGAAGCTTGCAGCTGGGATTCACAGTGAATAATGCTTAATTTTAATTTTGTTAATTATATCAAAATCTAATGCATATTCTGAATAAATAAATGTTTATTTGATAATTATATACTTTGTAAAATAAAACTAATAAACCCAACAAAATTGTTTTTGAAGTGAAGGAGGCAATACTACATAGTGGTTTTATTGAAAAAGGCAATGATTCATTAGAGGTTGAGAAACACTGGTCTAAACCAATACTTCTAGCATTACTTACTTCTGATGTATTTTGAGCAAATAACAATTGTTTAAATACCTGGAATTGATAAAGTTGATAGCAGACAAATAGTATGGGGTGAATTATATATTAAATGATGATGATTAATCATCAAGTTGTTTTTCTTAATTGTTTTAACATAAAAATAATGTCTTCATAATTTGTTCCTTTCTTATACACTTATACATTCACAACAAGTTTATATATATATGTGTGTGTGTGTGAGATAACTCACACGGTGAGTAGCTGGAAAAAGATCAAAACTCCTGACACCAAATGTTATATCCAGGGGTCATGAGATCTCTGCTTACTATGCAGGATGGTTTATAAGTTAATTAAAAGGCTGAGTGAATTCATTCACTCACCTATAGTCAGGTTCTGACACCAGTTAAGAATTGACACGTCTTAACTCTCAATTAAAATGGATTCTTATTTTATGATAGATATGTCTTTATTTACATAAGGAAATATAATAAAAAGAATGAATACATTTCTATAAGGCACCTTTACAAGTAATCAATAAAATATAATAATATCCTTATCTCAGAAGAGAACTAAATATATGCAACTACATAAATGATTTTCAAATCAAATTATTACAAACAAGAGAGCCTTTCTCTTGAAACCAATGTCTTGCTTTATTCTTCTTTATGAGATAGGAACATTGACGAATGTAAGGTGGGAACATACTCAAAGGGCTAACTATTCTGTGTGGCTAGTAGCATGTTCAACTATGACTAAAAGCAAGTATGAAAGGTGACTTCCATCTTTTATAAGAAATCAGTGGACCAATAAAGTTAGTCCACAATTCATCCATTTCCTAATAAACTTTTGTTTTAGCAGGAACTCTCCTCTTTTCCTGTAAATCAGAGGAGGTTGCAGATGTTATATTTTAATAAATTTTCTCTCCTTTTACCAAGTGAAATAAAATATTATTTTAAAATTAATTAATTTTCAATTCTTTTTAATTTTTAAACTGTTCCCAACTCCAGGTCTCTCGGATAGTTATATAAAATTGTTTTAGAGAACATTATTTTAATTAATAATGAAAACAACCGAATCCCTTAATAAAAGATTTTTTCTCTCATTATATTTCTATTATTTGAAATTTGATTTTATACTATTTTAATTTTAAAGGAAATTCCTCAAGGTGATTGGTATTGCACAAATTGTCAGTATAAAATGAAGCCTCCATCACCTGTTAAGAAGAAACCAGTTTATTATGAAGATGATGATGATGACAGCAATGACATTGATTATGATTATTCCATTACTGATGAAAATACAGATAAACAGTATCAAAGGTAATTTCAAATGTCTTTCATGATATAATTAAAACTTTATATATTTTAAGACTGGTTTACACAAAACCACTTATACTGATATTTTACTGCATCTAAAAACATCAACAAATAGTAGTCATATCATGTAAACCTAGTTATCTTAGTTTTCCAAGAGAATTGTTTTTTAAACCAAAATTTTTAAAATGATATAATTATGAAAATTATTGTAATTTTTGTTAAGAGTATATTAGAAACAGTCATTCTCTTCATACAATTTGCAATGTTTGTTAATTCTGTTTTCTAGAGGTTGGTGAACTAGCATATTTTTTTTTCACATTTAAATTTAAATCCCTAATTCTTTTGTTTAAAACTCTTCAAATTTCAAAACATTGCTTCAGTTCTTTAAAGATTGTAGTGCCAGTATATTGTTAATTGATTTGTTGTGTTTTTAAATAAATAAATTTGGTAGAAACATTAGTAAAATATTGACTACTTATTAAAAAAATAAAAGATTGACTATTTTGATAAGCAAAATCAAAGAAATACAGTAGAGTCTCACTAGTTTGAACTAATGGGGCTGAGTCCTGTTCAGATTAGCCGAATAATTGAAATAATACAATGCAACCAGTAAAACAGGTCTGGTTCATATAGATTTAACACCATCAGCACCCCACTCTATTTCATCTGGATTGCACTCAATAAAGGGCACAAACAGTTAACAAAAACAAATATTGTAACTTTATGCTTTAAGAACAACATCCCATAGTTTCACCCACAGACTGCATGTTTATAAGGCAATGGCGAAACATAGCATCTTCTAGTCGATTATTTTGTAATGTATTAATACAGTACTACAATAAAACACAATTCATTTTGTGGAATTCTAAATGTTTTTGTACCATTAATATCATTTACATTTAACTGGAAAATACAAAGAACATATATTTTGTGAGCTAAAAATTTTTTTTCTGCCGATCAATACATCTAGAAGATAGCTATCTTTATTTGGAATGCTTTGAGCATCAAATCAAGTTTAGTATTACCAGCATTATATTGTAATATTCAATATTACAATTTATTACTGTAAATATTAAATCCTTTCTATGTTAAATGGTCTTTAAAAGTGGTAATGTTATTCTATAAACATAAAATGAAAAGTTATGTTCAAATCATTGTTTATATTATTAGCTCATAACAAAATGGAAGAAATTATGAAAATTTACTAAATATATTAAAAGATTACTAACATTCCCAAAAAAATTGTTGAATTATTAATGAAAATAATTGCATTTCATGCTCAAATTAAGCTTTAATCATTTTTTAGTGAAGAAAATGAAGACACTTGTGATGTATGTAGTAAAGGTGGTACTTTAATATGCTGTGATGGTTGTCCATTAGCTTTTCATTTGGAATGTGTTAATCCACCTTTACGCCGAGTACCAAGAGGTGTGTGGAATTGTCCAAAATGTTTATCTTTGTCAGCAAAAAAGGCTGCTGCTGAAAAACATAGTGGTAAGTTTCAATCTGGATTATATAAATTATATTTTATAAAATTGAATGCAAATATATAAATCATATTAATTTGAGATAGTGGATTAGGCCATATTTTTGAAATAATATTATAAACTTTAAAAAAACTTATATTTTTTTCTGGAATTATGATGGTCTATTATAACATGACTGAATAAATGGTATAAATTCATAAATTATCTAGATTTTAAAATATTTGCAAAAACAATGCAACTTGCCTAGAAAATCTGAATTTTCTGGAATTGTCAGAAAATTTTACTTTTGATGGGATATCAAAATCTCTAGGACCCTTTAGGGGTTTATGGGATTTCGAATTGTAGAAAATATTTTTTATTACTCTACTGTCCATAAATAATAATAAAAAAATGATAGGTCATTTTTTGCAAATGTTTTTAGTTACTAAAATTCTTTTGTCAACTCTACAGGTAATGTTTTTAGATTTGATGTTAAAATTGTATTCTGTATCTAGTTCATCAGATTTTTACTAATTGTCAAAATATCAACTCGCTTTAAAAGAAATATAATACATCTCTAAACAACTTCTCTGACAGTAATATTTTTTAAAAATTCGCCATTGTTTTGATGTTAGCTGAAAATTGTGCAGGCTGTATAAATTGAAAGAAAATTTGTGATTATCCTATAATGTTAAAAGTAATAAATTTTATGATAATTCTCCTCCAAAATGGAGAGTGCCTAAAATCACATGTAGATTGATCCTTTTATGGTAGGCTATATATAACGTATATAAAATATGGTTGCTATTATATAATGTATGTAAAAGTAAAGTGTTCTCTGTATAACCAGAATTTTATTTCATGGACTCATTCCTGAAATTTTATTTGGTAGTGATCATGGCTGATACCTTAATAACTTATGTTTACATCCATCATTATGCTACTGGCAGTAGGCTTCTACCACAGTTGTGAGGCAGGCTTTAGTTGCACAAGTCTCTATCATGCTTGTTTGTCTGGTCCTCTGCCAGCAGTGATAATTAATTTAAAAAGTTTAAGTTATTCAAAAAAAATTAAAATGTAGTCTTTGGTGTTGAAAAAGTTGCAGACTTGAAATTTAACAAATTAAATTATGTAAATTACTGCTAAAATTATGTATAAAAGTGTAAAATAAGATATTTTTTTAAACTAAAATGAATGTCTTATAAAGTATGCTCATTCTAATTAACTAGCATGTAATGTTGTCATTCAGAACACTTTACATAACTTTNTTGAAATTTAACAAATTAAATTATGTAAATTACTGCTAAAATTATGTATAAAAGTGTAAAATAACATATTTTTTTAAACTAAAATGAATGTCTTATAAAGTATGCTCATTCTAATTAACTAGCATGTAATGTTGTCATTCAGAACACTTTACATAACTTTTTAATTATTACATATTTTAATAATCAAAAATTAAAATAATTGACTAATAATTTTAGGTTATATTTATTATTAATTATTAAATTTGAAATAATTTTAAAGATTATTTGTTATTTTATAGCTAATAATTCTGGATTATATAAAACAAGAGCTCAGCTATTATTATCTATTGGTGATAGAAAAAAGAGAAGGTCGTCACCTACATCATTTAGCAGACACAGTAAGATAGATATTTTCATAATATGATGATTATTTTTCAGCATTGTTTTGAAAAGATTCTAAATGTAAAAAAAAAACTGAATATGATTTTAAAATCTCATAATTTGTTTGAAACTTGATTATTGAATCTCATAAAAAAATTATTTCTAATATTTAGTAACGTATGATTAGCTTCTTTGATGAATATCTTATATATGAAACATGATACTAAGCACCAAGTATATTATAAAATTATTTACCAATAAACATTTGCTAAATTTAATTCATTCAAAATTGTCTTCTGATGTTAAATTTAAGACTTCTATAATTAATAATTTTTAATTATGTGAAGGAATTATAGTATTAGTTTCTATTCAAAATTTTGCATTTATAGTTTTTAACTTAAATTATATACAATATTGTATTTAAAGTTTTAATTTAACATAATACAGATTGTGTATAGTACAAGTTAATAATAAAACTTATGAAAAGTTCATTAATATAAAATGGTTTTATGGATGCATGTAAAGCAATTATTAACAGATGTTAATACAGTAATTGCAGATTTTATTTAATCAGCATTATCAAAGTATATTTGTTTTCATGTTATAAAACCAAAAACACTACTGTATTGTGGAGTAATACTAAAGTAATCACTTGCCATGATTAGGAAATTCTTAAGCACGTGAAGCGTTTTGATAAGGTCAAGCCATATCTGCAGATATGGTTTGACTGGGTCTGGCATGATATTGCCAGACCCATGGTATTAATAGATTAGGGTACATTCCATCAACAATCATGATAATTTTAAATGTTTTTTTATGCAGAAAAATAGAATTAACAAGTAAATTGCGTAATTCAGTTCAATGTTAAGTTTTTTTTTTTAATAATTTTAATATCGTTACTTATAAACGTTGTTTATTTTCGGATTACCGATTGAACAATTGACAGAAACCTAAATGAAAAACTTGCATCAATAATTTCTTTTTACAGGTAATGAATATTCCAGTCCCGATGATAAATCTTGTCCGTTGTCGTATGTTACTTGTGATAAAATTATAAGTTACTTAATAAAGCATCCAGATAGTTGGCCATTTTTATGTCCAGTTAACAAGAAAGACGTAAGAGATTCGTTATAAAATTGCATTAAATTTAAATTTTATTTGTTTCATGTAGATTTCTTTTTATGTAGGCACCAAGCTATTACAAGATCATCAAAAAACCCATGGATTTGGGAACGATTCGTTCTAAGTTGAACAATATGCAGTACAATAATAATGATGAATTTGCCGCGGACATTTATTTGGTTCTACAAAACTGTGAACTTTATAATCCTGCAAGTAGCATAGAATATAGGTGTGGACGAAGGTTGATGAAAGCTTTGGAAAAATGTTTATACACCTATAAACTGCAGATAAAGGGCGTAGAAAATGAAGATAGTCAACCGGCCAAGATCCGACGATTATCTTAACTATATGTGATTACTCGATTCTAAGAATTGGTCGTTCACCTTATGATATTTTTGTGATTCATCGATCGCGTACTTTACGAGGACTCTGTCATCATAGAATATCTCAGCGGACGATCGGATCTGTACAGTTATCATGGGGGAAAAGGAAAAGTATATATTAAATTTTGTAGTTACTTTTATACTAAAATTGTTCGATGCATCTTCGATTCGAGATTCTCTCCAAATACACACACGTACACGTTTCGATATTTTGTACGTAAGATATATATATAAATAAACACACAATACATTGTATATAATCATTATTCCATAAAATGGAATAAAGAATGTATAATTTTTTAATTTTTATTTTTTATCATTCCAAATTTTTAAATCATGCACAAACACCTGGAATCGTTTCTCTAAAGCCGCCTGAATTTTTTATTCATCGGGTAAATGTGTCTACAATTGTTTTCATTCCTGCCTCATACTGTATGACTTAATCGTCGACATATTTTATATTTATTAATGGGAGAATCCTTATCTAAAAAACCTCGTTTATTATTGTTAGAACCGTTTAATTCAATGCATTTTTCTAAATATACTTTCAAAAATGATAAATATTGCAAAGCATCTGGAGACTTGATCATGATAGGAATTTTAAAATATTCAATCGTTTTAGTGCTTATATTTTTAATAGGATTTTTTAATGGAAATTTTCTTACCTGAATCAAATCTTCAGATTTAGATTTTTTTTTCAAATGTAGAGATTGCAAATGTTCGGTCATCTCGAACAAATGCAATTTCGGTATTTTTGTCAGGGCTTATCGACTCCATCGAGCTGCCGTTAAGTTTAAAGCAATAATTATCGATACTCGGTTTTCAACCCTAAGCTAATTTCGTTGTGTTGCATATTAAATCTACCTGTTTGCAAATATCTTTGTCGGTAAATTGTTTCTCCCTGAAAAGAATCTATTTTTACATAGGTATGTAGATCATATAATTGTGCAATAAAATACTTGAATGGTTTATTGGTTTCTCGCTTTTCTCCTGGTCTCAAAAATTTACGTGGAACTTGGCGAATTTATATTAAATAAAAAAAATTGCTTATTTTTATATCAAAAGAATAGTTGCGATATTTCAGGGAATCGTTTGTTTCACCGCGTTATCTATTTACTACATTCGTTGCGAAATGCATTAATAAGTGGATTCATTCTATTAGGTGGATCCGAAGAATATTGTGTTTGAAAAATATATATATATGTTTTTCACAGATCTAATCAGTAGAAAGTGAATAACAATGTTAGAACGTATCCCAATTAGAATCTCGCATGTCAGGACCGATATTGCAATTCACCTTAACAAATGAGTGAAACAACTTAGTTTACCATCAGCAAGCTTTTCAAATATACTGTTTCAGATTAATTTTCTTCGACCATCGTCAGTATAAGTACAAAATTGAAAGTTAACCAATTACAAATATAACTAAAATATCAGATGAAACAAAACAAGCAGTTTGTAATGTCAATTAAATATTCTCGCGGTGACTGTTAAGTTTTATGGCTATAATATATCAGAAAGGCTTACCAAATATTTTTCTAACGACAGAATAGCATATAAATAAAAGTCTGTGGTAGTTTTAATACTAATTTTCAAAACGGATTCTCTAGAAAATGTTTACATTGATTTTTGCTTCTACGATGTGAAAATTATTTGTCTTGAAGTTTTAATTCAACATTATTTAGAGCAAGGCTTTCCTTCCTAGATTGAATTGAATTGTAAGGCAGTAAAAACTATATAACTTACGTATATAGATTTTTTTGCTGTAAGGCTGTATTCATACTGACGACGGCAACAACTATAGATCCGAAAGGATAATGACAGCGAGTCTTTCGTCTTGTTCGTCGCCAAAGCGTTCTTATTCATTAGTTTTCGTGTTAAAGCATGCGCAATTTAGGCTTGGTATTATTTCGTGGATTTCGGCACTTTTAGATCGGACTCGTCTGTTTTAAAACCGGATAGGTATAGTAAAATGTTAATAAATTCGGCTGTCCACAAAATTATTAAGAAAAATATTAAAACGTCGATGGTGAATCAGCTATTAATTAATATTGAGAGTGAGGGGGAAAAACAAGATTTCCATGCTTTGGTTTAGGGATTACGATTAAAAGACATCGAAGGTCTTTTATGTCTCCAAATACCTCTATCGTCTATTAAGCTTCGTAGGGTCTCTTCGACTTACGAGATTAGCTGTTCTATCTTGTTCAAAGAATTGTGGAAAGTTTACATTGATTGGCCAGTACCATTACGACGACAGATGTTGAATATAAGATGAAAATACAACGATAACGATTAGTGTGAATTTTTCTTAACGTTGGTACACCTGGTAGTTGGCCACTATATACATTTTAATTGCTTCCGTTACAGTTAGGATTTCGCAGTTTTTCTTTCGATCCCCTCTTAAAGTGTTTTATTTATGAATCTTTGTATAGACTTGTGCTATCGCATTTTACAGGAATATTCACGAAGGTTAAAACATTTCTCTCAAACGACAATGAAAGTAATTCGTTATAGAGTACCATTACAAATGATACGATTATTCTGTCTTGAAATATGTTTTAAATAACATTGAATTTAGATGGAAAATAAGAAATTTTTACTAAATAGTATCAAAATATTCACGCATCATTAGGTTTTACATCGTAAGTGATAAAGTAAAATAATTCAAACAATTTTAATTAAAAGGTTTATATGGTGATAATGGAATAGTTGCTTTGTTACCGATGAAGCTAGGATTAACTAGTCAATGCGTCCAAGCCTTTTGGTTAAAGCAAGTAACAATGTTAATTTTGAACTTATTTGTTTTGTTTACAAATTTTTAGGTTAATTCAATAACTAGTTGAATAATAATAATAAGTTAACAAATAGGTTACAAAGAATTATTTAATTCTTTGTAAGCTATTCAGTTTCGTGTTAAAGCATGCGCAATTTAGGCTTGGCATTATATGGATTTCGGCACTTTTAGATTGGACTCGTCTGTTTTACAAAGAATTATTTAAATGATAACTGAACAGGTTACAAAGAATTATTTAATTCTTTGTAACCTGTTCAGTTATCATTTAACTTGCAGTTGAAAAATTTAAGTGACAAATCTTTGTCGATTTCATAAATGTGAAAACTAATAAGTCTTAATAAAATTAATTATAAAATTATCTAAAAACGTTTAGATAACATTACAATCCAACAGCGCCTGGAATTTCACTAATATATCTTTTTTGCAACATATTTTTATGGAATATTCAATTCGTTAAGAGACGATAATCATTTTTTAGGGCAAAACTTTTTCAGCGACGGCTTTTTTTTATTTTTTGCCTCTCTGCTCTGAAGCCTTTTTTATATCTATTATGTGTTTGACAAATCACAATAGGAGCGGCCAGCTGATGAGGGACAAGGGGATCTATTCTGAGTACTATCGTTAAGCTAATGAATACGATAAAAACCAGCTTCTATCGGAACTACGTGATTCGCGTTTAATCAACTGTGAAAATAGAAAGTTTGACAATGGTGTTTGGATAGTCGGTGGAATCACGCTCGACATTCCAAACACCATCGTCAAACTTTTAGGCTTACGGGAAAGCGGCACCGAACGTCACACGTACACGTTTACACGTTTAAAACGTGTGCCTCAACCTCTCTAATGCTATTCGGAGCCTTACGTTTCGTTTTCGGTTCCGATAACCACGTGCAATAACTAAGCTTTTGTTATCGAACACACTCGAGCTGCCGTTAGGAACGTAACGAAAGTGAAAACAACACGGCGTCTTTTGGTGTAAGAACGATTTTACTTCACGAGCAATTGGAGAGAGAGTTAATAAACTATGTTGTTGTATTGCTTAAAAATAATTATCTTAACTATTTATGAATAATGTAATTGCTTTATTGTTAAAATTTAAAGTAAAAGTAGCAATAGCATGAACAGTATTTCTGAAATGGGTTTCATTCGCATATGTGTAAATTAAAATGATAACTTTGAATACAAATATATAAATGTACTAGCTGTTACCCGCAACTTCGTCCGCGAAGTTTTGCAAGCAAATCCCATTTACATTCAGTATTTCAATAACCATAGTAATTGTCATATAACACCTACCGCTGAAGAGAATTGCCGAGAATCAAACGAACTATCTTCAGTTTGATCAATTTTCCGGAATGTTTACAATCGTTCTATAATCGAACCAATATGCAATAACAAATTCGAATTTAAAACGGATCGAACATCTTTTAAATCGAAATGTATTAAATGTTATCAACTTAATACACCTAAGTATTTAATGAAGACTAAACGTAGTTGAAAACAAAAAATCGCATCTAAAATAGTACAGTAGAAGCCGTTTTTCCGGTTAAGCCTTAAT